CACTGCACCAAGGCTGTGTCTTGGTGCACAGGCAGGCCTCTGGGAATCCGGTGCCTGTGGTGTGACACCTTGCACAGGAATTTTTTTTTTTAAGTGTCAAAAAATAAATCTATTTTTAAATTTTATGTGTATGGGTGTTTGTGACCATGCAGTGCCTACAGAGGCCAGAAGGGGGTGTCAGAGTCCCTGGAACTGGAGTTCCAGAACCTACATGTGGATCACAACCATCTATAACTTGCTTCAGAGATAAGATCCAACACTTTCTTCTGACCTGAGACCATCACACACACGGTGAATATACATACATGAAGCCAAAGCATTCATACATATAAAGGAAATACATCTTGAAAAACCACAAAAGTTTTTTTTTGTTTTTTTTTTAACCTAAAAACAAGAATGCTTCTCTATTTGGGTTGACAAGTGATCATGAAATTTCTATCAGAACTGTTGTTAACTCTGCTTTTTCATTTTTTTAAAGAAATGTTTTAATTCATTTTACATATCAACCACAGATCCCTCACTCATCCCTCCTCCCGCTCCAATCCAGCCTCCCCGCTTCCACCCCATGCCATCAACCCCCTCATTCCCTCCTTCAAAAGGGTAAGGTATCCCATGGGGAGTCAACAAAGCCTGGTACATTTAGTTGAGGAAGGACCAAGCCCTCCCCCTTGCATCTAGGCTGAGCAAGGCATCCGACCACAGGTAATGAGCTCCAAAAAGCCAGCTCTTGCACCAAGGATACATCTTGATCTCACTGCCAGGGAGCCCTTCAAACACACCAAGCTATACAACTGTCTCCAGTATGTAGAGGGCCTAGTCTGGTCCCATGCAAGTTCCACAGCTCTCAGTCCAAAGTTCGTGAGTTCCTACAAACTTGGTTCTGTATCAGGAGTCTTAAAAGTTCTTATTAATAAAATCAAACCTGAGGCCAGTTATTGGAGTGAACGCTGCTGGAAGATCAGAGAAGCAGAACAAGCCACAGCCAACTCACCTCGCCAATTCTTCAGCTGATCCTGTTTCCTCAGACTGGCAGCCTCTGTGTCCTCATGCAGAATGGGTCTCAGCTGAACTGCTGCACAAAAGCCTGAATGCTTAACTAGCTCAGTTCCTGGTTTTCATGCCTTATATACCTACCTTTCTGCCCTCACTTCCTGGGATTAAAGGCGTGTGTCACCATGCCTAGCCGTTTCCAATGTGGCCTTGAACTCCCAGAGATCCAGAGGGATTTCTGCTTCTGGAATGCTAGGATTAAAGGTGTGAGTGCCACCATTTTCTAGCCTCTGTATCTAGTGGCTGTTCTGTCTCTGACTCCAGATAAAGTTTATTAGGTTGCACAGTATTTGGCATGCACAATACCACCATATGGTTCAGTTGTCTGTAGATTTCCCCATCATCATCTTGGCCCCCTTTGCTCATAAAATCCCCCTTCCCTCTCTTCGACTGAACTCCCGGAGCTTGGCCAGGTGCTTGGCCAGGTGCTTGGCCAGGTGCTTGGCTGTGGATCTCTGCATCTGCTTCCATCAGTTGCTGGATGAACGTTCGGTGTCTTCACATGCTGCTTGTCATGGTGGCAGCTGGCAGTTTCTCCTGCCTCAGCCTTCTGCTTCCCAGAATTCTCCTCAAAAGTTTTTTAAATGAAAAAAAATTAAAACCAAAAAACTGATAAACTGTCCAAGTACTTGGGAAGGCAGAGGCAGGTTTGGAGTTCAAGGCCAGCCTCACAACCTAGTCAATTCAAGGTCAGCCTTGGCTGAGGCTCTGTTCCAAAAACAAAAGAAGACAACGGGCTGATAAGGGCTAAGGATTCAACCCCAGAGCCCACGTGGTAGGAGAGAACTGACGCCCTCATGTTGCCCCAACCTCTACACTTGAGCTGTGGGATGAGCAGGTCACAGTTCCCACACTAATAAAATAAATGTGTAAAAATAAAAACTCATACCCAAACGTTAGCAGGGCATAGTGGTGCAGACCTTTAATTCTAGCACTCTGGAGGCAGGGGCAGGTGGATCTCTGAGTTTGAAGGCAGCCTGGTCTACACAGTGAGCTCCAGGTTAGCTGAGCTCATCCAGTGAGGCCTTATCTCAAAACACCAGCAGCCCTCACAGGTTCCTCAGGCTTACAGTGTTAGCGGTGTCTACCTGGATCTAGTCCAGTGTCCTTATAACTGCTTCAGGAAACATGCTGACCATTCTCATTCTCAGCAGCGTTTGTGCTTGAGATTTTTGCCAACACTTCTGGTCCACTTTATCTCCTCTGATTGAATTTGTTATTTGAGAGCTTGTCTGGAGTGTCTAGCAGGGGAGTGCAGCTACTCGTACCCCCTGACCAAAGACCGACCCTCCTCTGTTGGGGTGGGGTGGGGGTCGTTCTCACTGCCTCATGGGCACCCATCCCCCAGCTGCACACTCTCGGGAAGGATGCACATGGAGCGGGGAGGGAGGAAGGGGACACCTGCTTAGCCAGCCAGATCAGCCAAATCAACCCTGGAGATCAACTGGGGTAACAAGTGGCAGCCAGATTGCGCTCACATCCATTTTTGTTTGAGATAGGACCTCTTGTACACCTGGCTGTCCACAAACTTACTGTACAGTCGGATGACCCAGAACTTCTGATCCTCCTCCTTCCACATTCCGAATGCTGGGATACAGGGTCTCACTGTGTAGCCCTGACTGTCCTGGAACTCTCTGTAGACGAGGGTGGCCTTGAACTCACAGAGCTCCGCCTGCCCCTGCCTCCTGAGTGCTGGGATTAAACGCTGTGCGCCCCCACCCCTACCCCCTTGGCACTACACACACCCCTGTTTAGTACTGGAGAACTAAAGCAGAGCTTTGGGAATGCTAAACAGGCACTGTGCAGTGCTGTGTTTCCAACCCCTGGAACTCCCACGGTTTGTTGTGTATCATTCACAGTACTTATGTTCCTCACTGTCTCACAGCTAATGAGTTTGTGTGTTTTTACTCCTGAACACTGTAACTCTTGATGGCCAGTTTACTTCTTTTGATCCCCATGTCTCATGCACTGCTCAGGAGCTGCTACCTAAGTGTTTATAATAATCATTTTTGGATACTGGAGAGACAGCTCAGGTTAAGAGCACTGGCTGCTCTTCCAGAGGTCCTGAGTTAAATCCCAGCAACCACATGGTGCCTCACAACCATCTGTAATAAGATCTGGTGTCCTCTTCTGGCCTGCAGGTGTACATGCAGACAGAACACTGTATACATAATAAATAAATAAACAAACAAATAAATTCAATAAATAAATAAATAAATCTTTTAAAAAAAATTTCAGAGCCAGTCAGTTGTGGTGGCGCACACCTTTAATTCCAGCACAGGAGGCAGAGCCAGGAGGATCTCCGTGAGTTCAAGGCCAGCCTGGTCTACAGAGCAAGATCCAGGACAGGCACCAAAACAACACAGAGAACCCTGTCTCTAAAAACCAGAAAATAAAAAAATCCAGGGAATACGGTGCTCTCTTTTGGCTTCCACAAGCACCAGGCATATGTGTGGTCACATATATACCTGCAGGCCAACACTGGTACACATACAATAAAAATAAAGAAAATATTTAAACAATATCACTTTTTTTGCCATTAGTTTAGATGTCATCGATTTATTACTACGGAAATTATTTACATGACGGTATAGCTCAGTGTCAGCAGAATGAGCTGCTTCATGTGACACCATTTCCACAGCGATTTCTGTCCCCATCCTTCCCAAGAATGTCACCATCTCTAAAGAGGGGATAACCCCTGCCCATCTAGAACCATCTGGGGCCCCCATCCTCTGGGCAAAGACCTTGTTCTCCAGCTTTCACACTGATGGTCATGGTCGAACCTACCGCCTTTCCTTTCCAGCCTGACCTCACAGCTCCTGCGTGCGGCTTTCCTGGAGCATGCAGCTGCCACCTTTCAACCAGCTCTCAGGCAGAGGAAAAGAAACTTCCTCAAAGCTTGCCAGCCAGGACTCCTGCGGCGGCGGCTCCAACTCTTCTAATGATCTCCACAGGACAGGGAGTATTGGTGGGAAAAGAACAAGGTTTAGTTGACCGCTTCTCTCCA